AAATCAGAATCACTGGGAGTGGTGGTATTTGAAAAATATTATGGTTATAATAAGATACGGTAAGGATTATATGTTATTAATTACACTTTCATTCTGTTTTCATGTTCACCACTCCCTTTCTTCTGCATTCTGCATAATGAAAGAAAGGTTTTCCTGTTTTATAGCACATACCGCTCTGCCCGAAACATATGTATAGGCTGTTCAACTCAGTACTAACACTCAAAATTCTCCTGTTCTTATAAAGATTCACTATTTATCTGAAAAGGGTATTAATCTACTTGTGTTTAACAACTCTGTGTTAACTGGGAGTTACGCAGACAGAGAACATTATTTTTTCATAAAAGCCAGGTAGTCCTTTGTTTGCTTCAGAATTTGTTAAAAAAAAAAAATTCCTCTGGAATGCCTATAGGAGATAAATGGAAGTAATAGGTTAGGTCATGTTAGTACTGTTCTATGCATACTAAACAGATGGCAGATAGCATGCTGAGAATATGTGTTTTCTGTTTTGTATGTTTTTTATTTGGTTTAAAAACAACTGACTTTTTAACTTATTCCCTCTTTTGTTCCTTTTTCTTCCATTTTTTGTTTTACATTGTTTTTTATTGAGTTTGCAGGAGTGCTTTTTATCTGACTTGTTATCTTTTGCTCTGTGGACCTTTTCCATAGTATTTGGTATAATACCTAATACTTCCATACCTAGTATAGTGAGGGATCATAAATGTGCGTTAATTTATGTTTAGCTGGTATTTCGGTTAAAAGGCGAAGCCACATTTTTTTTGACACTTTCAGCTGAATTTCAGAAGACTTCCAGCAAAATTTTTGTTGGCTTCTTTTTTTTTTTTTTTTTTAAGCAGAGATTACTTGTAAGTTCTAGACAAGCTGGTGAATTTTTTCAAATTCTACCAATTAATTTTTTCATGACTTTTTAAAGTTTCAACTTTCATGAGAAATCCAAATGTAGGATGGAATTCTTCAGCTTTCATTCCATCTAAGATTCTATTCACTGGTCACCTATGTTAACAATAATGGTGATATTTGAAAATGAGACCAGTGGCAGCTTGAAACTCATTTGAGAATCAGTTGGGTTGTCTCCTTTGTGGTGGTGAGTTTACCTTAAGAGCTGTGCTTCATCTTTTCCTTCTTAATGTTCCAACCCAGACCTGGGATTCAGTAGCCCCTCTGCTAACATGCTGACCAATCTCGGGCTGCCCTGAAGTCAACATGGCCCACAAGTCCTGTAGGCTAGTGGTGGCCTTGCTGAGACAGGTTGGGTTTGAGAAAATCTTATTTATTATGTTTACAATTTTAACATTTTTCCTACCTTTTTATCTTGATACTTTCAAATTTCCAGAAAATTTGAATATTCTGAATACACACCTCATTCACACAGATTTGCCAATTTTTTAACACTTTGCCACATTCCCTTTATTTTTCTCTCTATATAAAATAAATACTTTTATTGATTCATTGAAAATTGTAGATATCATAAACTTAGCCCTTAACTACATACATCTTTCATACCGCTGTCTCCCACAATACCATGATCACATCTGATACAATTACAATAATTCTGTAATGTTATATAGTATATTTTTAAATTTTCTCAGTTCCCCCAGTGTCTTTATAGCTGACAAGTTGTATTGTAGAATCCAGGCCACTTGCCTTGTACACTTAACCCACATTCTGTATCTCTCATTGCTTCCTCATGATGAGGTTTAAAATGTATAAAGGATACCACTTGAGTGTGATATTGTGTATTTCTCATTGCACCCCTAGGAGGTGCATAGTTTGTCCCGCTATTGATGATGATACGACTGATTCCTTGGTTAAGGGGTGACCACTAGACCTCCTTATTGTAAAAGTAGCTCTTTCCTTTTGTACCTAATAAGTCTTCTGTAGGGTAATATTTTGAGTTCATGTGAGTTTTCTACTCCCCAGTAGCCTTCAGCCAGTAGCTCTATCATCTGTTGTGGATCTTTGCCCGAAATTGATGATCAACTTGGAAGTTGTAAAATGATGATTTTCTACTTCTGTCTTTAATTATAACTGTTATTATTCTGTAAAGAAACTTTCTTTTACTCCTTGTCACTCTCCCTGAGTATATGTGTGTGCCTACGCGTGCTACATATTGAGTGTGTTATAAGGTATGTCATTGTTCTTTTGGGTGTTCAGATTGTCCCAGGTTTGGCCAGTGGTTGCCCCTTAAAGCTGGCTTCTGTGTCCTTTTGAGCACTCCTTGTTTTCTGGCATAGGAAGATGTCTCTCTCTCTTTTTTTTTTTGTATTTTCTCTGACGTAGGCCATTTCTCCAAGGTACTCAGTTCATTAAATTGGGAAATTGTGTTTAGAAACCAACTGGTCCACTCATTGCTCCTGGGGTTCCATTGCTTCTATGCTCTTTCAGGTGACAGAACTAGGAAATGATATTTTTTTAATATTATAGGTAATATTTCTTAAAGATCATGATTTTATATTACTTAACATTGTAGGATTTTTCTTTTATATTTGTATAATATAAACACAATATAATATACAGTAAAATTTTGTTCCCATAAATTATTATTTGCTTTGTGCTGCAGTATACACAAAATATTTCAGAACTACAATATCAATATTACGGCTGACTGTAAGCCTACAGTAAAATTGAGTTTTTGCTACTTTTGTTATTAGAAATTAGATCTTTTTGTTTCTGTGTATATTCTTGAGATTTTGTTTCTGGAAAATTTTATTCTTGAATACATAAACATTTACATTCTTCAGAGCTTAGCTGTATGTAGAGCTGTACTCACAGTGGAGTCGTGCCCTGTCCTCATGTTTCTCACTCTGCTCCCATCCAGTCCTTAAGAGATCATTATTTTCATTAGAGTGTCTGCATTGTTCTTATGTTTTATGTGTATGTTTGCACAAAGAAGCTTGCATTTTTCCTTTATTTGCAGACAAGAAGCTTGTATTTTTTCCCTCTGCCTACGTATATTTTCTGTTTCTGTCTCTTATAGCAAAACCATATTCTAGGTGCATTTCTTTTGCGTCTTGCTTGTCTCTGTTTTATGACTATTAGTACTTGATGGCTCAGTAGATCGTGTGTCATCGTTTATTCAACCAACCTCTAATGTATGGGAATTTGGTTTTTTAAATATTTGTTCTTAGAAGTCAATGAATAACCTATGCTTAGGTTGTGGGGATGTACCTTGGTAAATTCAAAGAAGTCAGGGAGATGTGTATGTAGTTTCGTTAGCAAGCACCAACTTCCCACTTGAGGCTGTGGCAATATTTCTTTACAGTCTTGTCAACAGTGTACTGCCAAACTTTTGAATTTTTGCTAGTCCTGTTAGATTCAAACTGTTATCTTAGTAATTTTAATTGCTCAATGGCATCTGAACTTTTAGTCATAATTAAGAAAGACTTTTCCTTATCTTGATTATAAAGGAATTTATCCTGCTATATTCCAGTACTTTGGGTTTTATTTTATATATTTGTCTCTATGACTCATCTGGAGTTTACTCTGCTGTATGGTGTGAGGTATGAATCCAATTTTATCTTTTACCAAGTGGCAATCAGTTGTCTCGATATCGCTTATTTTAAAAAGTCTGTCTTTTCTCCTGCAGCAAACAAAGGGAGAGGAGAGTCCTGTTTTTTGTTTTGGTTTTGGTTTTTTTTAAGTTTTGCTAAATGAGCATGCTGATGTTCAACCTACATTTTTTAAATATCAGTTTTTGTTGTTGTTGTTGTTTTGTTTTTTTGAGTTGGAGTCTCACTCAGTCACCCAGACTGGAGTCCAGTGACCGCTCCCTGCCACTGCAGCCTCGACCCACTGAGCTCCAGAGATCCTTCCACCTCAGCCTTCCGAGTAGCTGGAACTACAGGCGCACGCTACCACACCCAGCTAACTTTTTTGATTTATTGTAGAGATGAGGTCTCGCCAAGTTGCCCAGGCGGGTCTCGAACCCATGGGCTCAGGCAATCCACTCACCTCAGCCTCCCAAAGCACGGAATTACAGGCTGAGCCACCGAACCCGGCTAAATATCAGTTTTATTGTGAAAGGCTGAAGGAGAAAGCTTGACCCAGAGACACACTGGACTCCCTAATATAATTGAATTTATTGTAGACTCTTCTTTTCAGGAGCAGAAACTGATCCAACACATTTACTGTGTGAGTGGCAGAGAAGGCCAATCTGGAGAACAAGCTCTCTACAGAGCGGTGCTGTGTTTGAGTGAAATACCAGATCCCAGGCCATAGACTTTTCACCTGACACTACTCAGGAAGGAAAATCATTTGTTCTTGTTCATTGTGAGGGGGAGTGTTGGAGAAGATTACCACAAAGGCTTAAACAGCAGTTCTCAAGTTGGGGGGCAGCTCTGCTCCCCAGGAGGTGGTGGCATTTGGAAAAGTGTTGGGGTGAGATTTGTCACAGGTACTGAGGTATAATTGGCATAGATTGGGAAAGAGCCAGGAATGTTAAATGACCTGCAGTATGAGGGAAGGGTGCCTGTCACAGAGCTACCACGCCCAAAATGCCCATAGCATCCCTATTGAAAAACGGACACTTAAGAGAACTGTTTGGAGAGAGTATAGTTTAAAAACTCTGGAGAAGTTGAAAGGGCATCTAAAAACGTCAGGGGTGTCACGGTGGATGTGAATGAAACTCCAAGAACACCCTCTTCAGCCTGCTCTTTGATACTGGCACGACCAACTGGGAGTTGGAACAAATGCTCTTGGGCACTTTACCACAGAAGAGATTATTTGTGGTGTCACTTTCAAGGAGTGACACGTTTCAAGCTGACACTTGGAAACTGTTAACAACTAGTTCAATAGAATTTTTTTTCCTTTTGGATGTGTGTATGTAGTGGTTTTATTATCCCATTAAAAAGATTACAAAATAAGATAATGCCTGCGAAACTCAAGTTCAATGTCTGGCACATAGTAAGTATTCAGTAACTATTAGTTATAACCTTCACTTCTTTTTGTAGCAGTTGTTAATTAACCTTTGTGTATATTTTCAGAGAGCCATTGCTTACCTTTTCCCAAGTGGTTTGTTTGAGAAACGAGCCAGGCCAATAATGAAGGTAGTTATCCCAATTACTATTTTTTTAAATTTTAGTTTTCTGTTACAGTAATTGTCTGATACACTTTAAATTTATTTTTCAGCATCCTGAACAGATTTTTCCAAAACAGAGAGGTAAGTTTCCTGAAGAGTGAAATACAACTGTTTCTCTTTACTGCGTTGTTCGGTTTACATATCAGCAGTTGCTCACAGGTTGTAGAGTTGTGTTGTGGCAGTTGTGAAGTAAGCCAAAAATATCTTGTAACTAATAATGAATGACTGAAGTTTGCAAACGATTTCTTTTTAGTTAAATGATACTAAAATCAGATCAAGTTAGGGCTTATGTCTATACTAATGTCCCAGTAGTTATATGCATTCTTATGACTTTTTGAGGATGTATTTGGTCTGTACCTCGAGTGTTTGGTGCAGGCTTTAGTGCCTGTACCAAACACTTTCTCAAAAAGACACAGTAGTCTGCTGGTGACTTTTGTTTTATGAAAATTTTTTAACTTTCTTCATTTTGGAAACATATTTTCACTGACTGTAGATTCTCTTTATTGTTCTTTTGACACTTTAATGATGTCAGCCCATTGTCTTACCTTACATTATTTCTGATGAGCGGTTATCTTTTAATGTACACAAAAAGCTCTTGAAGAAAATATACAACAAGCTTTCAGGTTGCCAGGAAATTGAATAATAGATTAGTTATGCATTAGAAACCTCTCACCCAATGTGAACTGGTAGTAGTTGTCTGTTAAGTTAAAAAGTATTAAAGCTAAAAATCATTTCTTTAATAAACACTCACATACAAACTTACAGTGTAGCATTAGGCAGTGCTAATGCTAATGTAATTCTGTGTTAATTGAGTCAGGGGAAAATATTTTCATAGACAAAAAATAAAGTTAATTAACAGAATTGAGCATTCATTTTTTTGGTGAAAACCTTAAACTAGAAATAAAAAGAGATTTTCTTAGTTTGAGAAAAGACTGCCATGAGAAACAGAAACACATCAAATTTTAAAGTGCATCATTACATCTCATTAAGTTCAGGAATAAGACAGGTATGCTTCCATTCATCTCTGTTATTCAGCATTGTTTTAGAAGTTTTGGCTGGCGTGATAAAAGCAAAGTGTGGATTTAAAACCCCAGAGAAATTACTAGAAGCAGTTATTCATAGATATTAGGATTGCCCACTTAGAAAATGGAAAACGATCAACTAAAAACTATTCAAATTTCAATAAAATATCACGATGTTATTTGAGTATCTGAATTTAAAATATCTAACTATGAATTGTTCTGATTTTTTAAAATGGTATCGTTTGATGCAAACATGCCACAGTATAGCTAAAGGGTGAAGTGCTGGTCACGTGGCGATCATACGAGCATCCTGCCAGGTGATGATACGGTGCTAGCCACATCCCCCACAGAGAACTCAGCGTGGCAGAGAGCGTAATGATGATCTAAATGACGCAATGGTCTTACTGGTGACAAGTGAATTGCACTTTCTCTGCCTTATGTATTTTGGCAGATGAGAAGAGTGGCCAGTGTCAGAGATCAGAAATAATATTATGTAAAACAATTATGAGAGACTGTTTTCACCCATCACATCGGAAACTGCAATTGTTGTGTGTCATCAAAAAGTTGGAAACAATCTATATGTTCATCACAGGGTGGCTAAATAAACTCCAGAGTCGCAATGAGTAGTAACATACAGGTGGTACAAAGCGTGAGACAGATCTAGTTGCTTTAGGACAGATGGGACATTGTTGGGCAGAAAAAGCAAATAAACACAGTAATATGTAGTGTAGATACAGTTAATGCCATCTTTGTTTTTAAAAGAACCACACAATGATACTCTGTTTTGTGCAGATACACCTATGCAAATGCAGAGCCCAGAGCAACAAACTCTCTCCTTGCCTTTGGCAAAGGAATTCTAATATGTATTCTGTGTAAGAAGTGTGTGTTACATGTGGAAAGTTAATTTTATAGACAACTTAATGGGAGGGGCAGTATCAAAAGCAACAAAAACTCAGATGCAAATAAAACTTGTACAATATGTAAGAGCTTTATGTAGAACATTATGAAACTTAAAGGTCATACATGAACATCTGACTAGATTTCATGTTCCTTTCAGGGAAGACAGTATTCCAGAATTGCTATTTTGAAAATTGTTAATGCATTTAATATAATTTTAGTCAGAGTTTTGGTACAACTGTTGGGGAAACTTTTCAATTTAATTGTGCAAATAGCTGTGAGAAGTTTTTAAAAGAATAATCAAGGGAGCTTACTGTAAGTACCTGGTATCAAAATGCAGAGAAAAGCTCTGCTAATTAAAATGGTCGTGACACAGAGTAGACAAACAAACAGAGTAACACATTCAGTGGCAGTATTTGTGTCATATTTTGTGAATTCTGAGACTTGTTTCAAATTTCAACATCTTTGACAACAGGATGCACTTCACAATTGTTGTGAACAATGATACATGCCATAGTTGGACAATTTTTTTATCTTTCTTTGTGGTATATAAGATATGTGATGGAGCATCTTAAAATTTGTGACACCTTAGATTCAGTGAAGCCGTGTGTGTGTGTGTGTGTGTGTGTGTGTGTGTGTGTGTGTGTGTATGTACATGCATAATGAAATCAATCCCTTGATGTAAGATCCAGCTCAACTTAACTGTAGAGTCTTGTCTGCAACCATGATGTTTGTCTTTTTTATCATTTTCTGGCGAACTACTTCAACTATATGATGAAAATCGATTGCATAGTAAAGATTCAGATATTGGAAAATCTGCACGGTTTCTTGAAGTCTATGAAATGATGTTGGAAGAGTATTTAAATCATAAGTCATAGACAAACATATCAGGTTTTCTCTCAAGCTAAATGCCCTAGCAGAACTTTTTATTCCCACCATTTATTATGAAAATGTTGTCTTTGTTTTAAGTATGTTTACTTAAAGTGACCTTTCTAATGCTAATTATCCTCAGAGAAGAAAGACATCCTACATAAAACACGGGAGTATTTCAGTGAAAAGGGGCATGCTATTAAAAAAAACTGCAGAAGGATAATGACTTACTTAGCTGGACAGAATAATACTTAGATTTCTACCTCACAAACATAAGCTCTAGAAAGACTAAATATCTGAACTTGAAAACAAAGATTGAAGAAGAAAATATAGCAGATTGGTTTTAGAGTGTCCAGAGCCTTAAAGCATGCTTTCTCATTGAAAGTGAAGATAGGTTCATAGAGGGTAAGAAAACCTAGCTGTTACAATGGGCCTCAATCTACTTCAGCAGATGCAGAGTATAACTGTGGCATTACAATTTCATGGAGAGCCTGGGCACGGTGGCTCTTGGCCTGTAATCCCAGTACTTTGGGAGGCCGAGGTGGGCAGATTGCTTAAGACCAGGAGCTCAAGACCAGCCTAGGCAACATAGCAAGACCTCATCTCTATAAAAAAATAAAAGTAAATTAGCCAGACATAGTGGTGCGCACCTGTAGCCTCAGCCATTTGGGAGGTAGAGGCAGAAGGTTCACCTAAGCCTAGGTGATAGAGGCTGCTGTGAGCCACACTTGTGCCACTGCACTCCAGCCTGGGCAACAGAGTAATACTCTGACTCCAAAAAAAAAGAAAGGAAGAAGACAAAAGAAATTCATGGAGAGAAGGCAGTTGGGGAGAAAAAATGCCTAAAATGTCTTCTTTAGTGGGATCGATAACAAAACACGGATGAGAAACACTGCCATAGAGGAAAAAATGACAGTTTCAACAATGTACATACTTTAAATGTCTTGATTATGAAAGATATCATAAATAGATTAAAAGGCAAGTGACAGACTAGGAGAAAATAGTTTTTAATTTATGTAATGGACCGAGGAGTTCCATCTTTAAGTATAGGAGTTCCTACAAATAGTTACTAGAGAAACAAAAGAAATAGTATGGGCAAAGGCCATGGAGTTAACGTTTGACTTATTTACTTGAGTAATTCCATTTCTCCATTTGTTTGGTGGTTGTTAGAAGTGAATGACCATCTGTATTTCAAAAGGAGTTACAGAGAACACCTTTCTGAGGCCCCTTCTGTTGTAGATGACCACAGGGTTGAAATAAATTATGTGGCAAAATACCTCTAGTTTTTTTTATTTGTTATGTCTGCCTGTTTCAAATTTCTGAACGGACTGCATTGTTGACTTTATTAGTGTTCTTTTTCTTTTTATTTTTTTTTATTTATTTTTTTGAGTTGGAGTCTCACTCTGTTGCCCAGACTGGAGTGCAGTGGCCGCTCCTGGCCACCACAGCCTTGACCTGCT